TCTCTGCAGCTGGGGGGCTGCTGGTTCAGTGCCATGCTCTATGTGTGGCCTCACTGGGTGCTACTTTCTACTGCGGCATTCTGCTTGTGTGAAGCTGAAGTTGATCACAGGCATAGCAGCTAGACTTACTGAGTCCCTACTATGTGCCTGCACTGGATGACGTCCTTTACATATATGACCATACTTCATCTTCATGACCATCTAGCGGGTGGATACAGATGGAGCCTCAGATACAGATAAGAAAAATGGGCCCGGCTGGTGTGGCTGAGCGTGGACCTATGAACCAGGAGATCATGGTTCGATTCCAGGGTTGCTGGCTTGACCCCCAGGAGGGAAGGGTGTGCTGAAGGCAGCCAATCAGTGGTTCTCTCTCATCATTGATGTTTCTATCTCTCTCTCCCTCCTCTCTGAAATAAAAAAAAAAATGAAAAGAAAAAGAAAAATGAGGCTCAGAGATAAAGTAACTTGCCCAAGATCACACAACCAATCAAATGGCTGAGCCAGGATTTGAAACAAAGTTTGCTGGATTCCAAGGCCAACAGCTTTAACGTCCATTATTGATAAGCCGCGTAAGTGCCCTGGAGATAAACATTAGGTCCTTTTCCTCAGATAAGGAATCTGAGCCTCAGAAAGGCCAAAGGACTCGCCCAGGCCCTAAAGCTGGGAGGAGGCAGGATTCTAGCTCAGCCGCCGCTTCACTCCACAGCTCACGCCTCACAATCTTGATGCCACAAGGACGGCTGACCACATTCCTTACTGAGGTCCACTCAGGGTGGGTGACTTCACTCTGAACCTTGATCTAAATCTCTGCTGGTACAAAGGTGTTACTTCACCTTTTGTGGCTGCTGGTTCCCATCCTCTGGAAGTGTCACAACTGCTCGGGCTGTTAGCACAGCTGGGGCTGTGATGGGCAAGGTGCCAGGGAGGCCCTGCAGTCCCCTCTCCTCCTCAGTAATAGGACAAAAGGCTCTGGGGGAACTTCAGAAGGCTGTCCCTCCCTGGCTGACACTAGGGGCAGGTTACCTTGGTGCGTTTCCCATTGATGAAATAATGTGCATCCCGGTGAAGTGTGAGAGAGGGTCTAAACTGGGGTGGGGGCAGGTGCCAGGAATGTGTGGGGGCAGGTTATTTTTCCAAGGATAATAACCTAAGCAGTGCTTCTCGACTGTCCACCGGGGGACATCTGCAAAGTCTGGAGACATCTGTGGTAGTTAGGACTTAGGGAGGTGCTACTGCCGTCTGGTGGGCAGAGGCCAGGGAGGCTGCTAAACATTCTACAATGCACAGCACAGCCCCGCAACAATGACTTATCCAGCCCAAAAGGTCAATAGTGCCAAGGTTGAGAAACCCAATTCCAAAGGAACCTTCACTCACTCCGTCACCTCCCCCAGCCTGGTTGGCTCCTGCGCTGGGCTGGACAGCACTTCAGAGGTCCTTTGTGGGGATGTGTACATGTTGGCGGGTGGGGGGAGGGGCAGGGGCTGTATCCTAAGGTGCTTTTATAAATCAGATGTTACTCTCCTGCTTGAAACCCTCAGGGGCTTCCTACTGCTCCTATTACAAAATGCAGACTCCTTCCCATGGCTGGCAGGGCCTGGCCCGGCTGCTCTCCTGCCCATGGCTGCCTCCCCCCGACTCTCCTCTGTGGCCACGTGGGTAGGTCTCCCTCTCCTGAAACTCACAGAGCCTCCCACTTGCCAATCCCTTGGGACGGTCATCCTGTGTTTCCTCGGGGCTGGCTCCTCCTCCTCTTCTTAGCCTCCCAGGACCACCGTATCGAAAGTGGCCAACCCCACGCCCACCCTTGTCCTGTCTCGATGGTTGCTGTCCTCATAGCACCATCTGCTAGAATGCGAGCTCCACAAGGTAGGCTCTTGGCTGGTTTTATTCACTGCATCCCAATTACTATGCACAGTGCCTGGTAAGTTCTAAGTACTCGATAAATATTTTACATGAATTTTTATATGACTATTTCTTTCTTTTACTGTTTTATTTACCTCCCCAACCAGAATATTAGGTCCATGAGGGCAGAGATCTTGCCTGGCTAGTTCACTATTATGTCCCCAGGACCTGGAACAATGTGATGACACATGCCAGATGCTAAACAAATGAATGAGTTCCTCAGTAATTAGGACACCCCCAACCCCCGCCGCCACCTGGGGCTGGAGAGTGCCACGACTTGCCATACCCTAGGGAAGCATAGTGCCTGGAACGGGGGGCACAGGGCAGCAGTTAACAGCATGATCTGGGTGTGCATACTGCTTCCAGTAACACTGGCTGTATGAAGCCAGCAAGTTGCTTAACTCCTCTGAGCCTCAGTTTCATCTATTCAAAGGGCATAACGTACTTGACGGCATTATTGGGAGGATTCAGCAAGATCATGTGAGCCTGGCATCTGGAATACAGTAGAGGTTAATAAATGCTAGCCAGAGTTCTCGGTTGGAGCGATATTACTGGCCCATTTACCTGTCCCAGAGAAAATGACAAAGGCTGGGCACAAGAGACTGAAAAGCACTCCTGCCCATGGTGGCAACTTAGGGTTCCTCCTTTCTTGGGACGCCACTCCCATGCCTCTCATCTGACCTTCCTGGTAAGGGCCAAAGGCACAGAACCTGGACACTCACATTCACATCCAGGAAACGGAGATACTCGCGGGCGAGGGAGCCCTCAGGCAGGCTCCGGAGCTTGTCCAGGTCAAGGGTGGACAGAGAGATCCGGGGACGCTCCCTGCAAGACAGAAGCAGGACCTAGGTATTGGGCGGGCACCAGCAAAGGCAGGTAAAAGGTTCTGCTGGAACAAGGCTGAGAGAGGGGAAGGGGCAGAGCATCAATGGGGACACAGTCCCGAGAGAGCTTCTTCGAGGTGGCAGGGACTGAGGAGAGGTCACGCTTCCTGCCTATAAGGGCACAGTCTAGGCAGGCAGGCCTCACAGGTGATCAGGGTACTCACCAAGGGCACTGCAGGAAGGGGTGAGGGTACAGTTAGCAGGTGTTATGGAAGCTTAGAGAGGGTATAGAGCCCTGTGGCTGGAACTGGGCAGAGGCCACCAGATGGCACTACCCAGGGGTCATCGTAGTGTCTATATGAATTGGATCCCAGGAGTTAAGCAGTGCCCAGCCTGTGCAGCCATCCATAGCCAGGATATGCAGAGCTCCCTAGAGGAACAGGACTGACACAATGGGACTCGAGATCCCCACAGAATATTCCCAACCGACACCCCCAGGCAGAGCTGGAACCTACTGCAGGATCTGGGCACCCTCTGAGTCCCTCTTCATCTGGTCCCTGAGGACCCTCAGGGCACGGCACCCTGTGGTTTCCCCTAGAACTGCAACCATGTCTGAAAGGAAATTGGGACAAATACAGGATCTGATTAGGTAAGTTACCTGACCTGGTCTGAGTCTCAATTTCCTAACTGATAAAGATCTACCTCTTAGTTATGAGGATTCATGTTAAACACCTAGCAAATCATCCTGCACAGAGGCAGGGCTCAATACAGCTATACTTATTAGTATTGCTGTTATTAATCTGCTGGGATGAGGTAGCTCCAGTTAGCACAGTGCTTTCCAGATCACTTTCACACCCACGATCACAACACAATATAATGTCTCCATTGACAGGCACAAGCTTTGGTATCAGAGTGCTGGGTTTGAGTCCAGGTGCAGTCACTATCTAGGTGATCTTGTACAAACTGCTTCCCATTCCCAAGCCCCAGTGTCCTAGTCTGTGCAGGTAACAGCTTTCTAATAGGGTTAACGTAGAAATCAAAAGCATCATGCATAACAAAGCACTTAGCACAGTGAGCAGCCAGGTGTGCTCAGTGAGCAGTCAGCATTATCGTTTTTATTAGCAGGAGTAATAGTACTCTTCAGACTTAAGGGATGAGGAAGGCATGGCAGAATCTTAGGATGCTCTAGTTATACATCCAGCAAACATTTATCGAGCATTTATTACGGGCCAGGCACCATCCACAATGCTGCCGAGACTGTGGGAAAAGGCAGTCATGGTCCCGAACCTTATCAAGTTTAATTTCTGGTGGGTGTTAAAATTCAATGGTGCTTATAAATCACCTATTTAGTCCAGAGGTTGTCACTGTGGCTGGATGACAGATACCTGCCCTCTCCACACCTGACAGATACGGAACCCAGGCGTCTGCATTTCTACGAATGTACCGGGTGATTATGAGGTACAGCCTCCAGCCTTGGGTACCCAGACCTAGACTATTCCCCAGTGACCCGTAGGAAACGGAAATTTTGACAGAGGCCGGGGCCTGCCCAGGCTTCCAAGGCAAGGGCCTCCCGGGGAGCGCGGGGCATGGGCGGCCTTACCGTGGCGATACGGGTTGTAGAGGGCCATGCCCGCAGAGCCGGCGGTCAACAGCACCTTCTGCAGCAGGGAGGTGGGGATGTGTTCGGGGTAGAGCAGGCCGGTGCCCTGGCTCGCGGCTCGGAGCGGCACATCTGCGGGGCAAGAAGAAGGCCGGGGTCAAAAGTGTGGGGGGGACCCCAAGACTTCCCTCCGTCCCTGCCACTTGCCTGCAGCAGGGCCAGGGAAAACTTGGAACAGACGGAGGGGACGCAGGGTCCCGCGCAGCAGCGTCACCATGACAGCACGCGCTGCCCGAAGGTCGCGGGAGGACGGCGGGGCAGGGCCGCTGCTCCAAACTTCCCAGGCGACCGAGCGCCTGAAGGTCAGAAGAACTCGAGCCCTATTCCTCTGAGTAGGGCCTTTGGGAGGCGGGGGAATGGGGCCGAGGAAAGGGCCCTATCGCTAAATATGGGAAGTGAACCCAGGCGAGCTGTCTGCCACCTCCTCTACGGATGATAACTCCCCATTTCACTGCACCCCCGGGAAGGGTGTCCCCGTCCGACCCGCTAACACGGGGCTACGGCGACGGAACACACATCCTTTTCCGCACACCGTTCCCCCGAGGATGTTAGGGGGAGAACCACTTCCGGCTGCGAAACCTGACGGCGCCCATTGTACGGACACTATTTGGTGCGGGACCGTACGACACTTCCGCCCGTCCAGCTCGGCCCGGAACCTGCGCCGCGGGCGCGGACATGGGGGCTGCCGGCGCGGCCCGGCTGCACGGGCTCTTTGCGACCTACAAGCCCCCCGGGCTGCACTGGAAGCACCTGCGGGATACGGTGGAGCTGCAGCTTCTGAAGGGTGAGTGCCTAGCCCTAGCCGGACTCCCGATTGCGCGCCCGTTCTCCCGGGAATCCTTTCCCGCTTCTGATCCTCTAGCAAAATGAAGTCATGTGATCTAGTCGCCTGGGAGAGCGCTTTTCTAATCATGGGTTACGCCTCACCTTCCCTTGTGTTCACTTGGGTAAACAGACTCGGTATTGCCCGTTGTCGTACGCAGTAAATAAGTCATAGGTTTGGGATTTGAACTCGTCTGTTTCCTAACTGTTCTGTTCGCTGGTGCGCGCCCTGGGTCCTCGTCCGTCTCCCGCATCTCCGTACTTCCCTGCCCCTCCTCCCCAGGTGTTGGGACAGAATTGACACGATGTCCTCTACCTGGGTATGCACAGGTCTCAATGCTGGGAAGCCTCCTGCCCCTGAGCAGCGTGTTCGCTTTCTGCTGGGCCCTGTGGAAGGCGGCGAAGAGAAGGAGCTGACCCTCACAGCCACCAGTGTGCCCACCCTCACCAACCATCCGCTGGGTAAGGCGCGTTCGGGCAGGGGCTAGGGCCGGGGTCCCTTCGCAGGAAATCTCTGTCCGGAGTGAGTACTCAGACTCCTGTCCCAGACCTTCGGAGGGCCGCAGTGGGGTTGAAGTGTTTGGCAAGGAATATGCAAATTTTCCAGATAGGAAATGCTTCAGGCTTTGCAGGTTCAATTCTGCCATCATAGTGCAACAGCGGCTGTAGGCAGTATGTGAAGCCATGAGCCTGCCTGTATTTCAATCAAACTTTATTTATGGACACTGACCTTTGAATTTCACATAATTTTCATATGTCACAAACTATTATTCACTTGATTTTTTTTTTGAATCTGTGAAAAATGGGGTGTGTGTGTGGGGGGGGAATTTAACTCGTGGGCCATTATAAAAACAGGCTTGAGGATTTGTCCTGTGGACTGTAGTTTGCTGGCCCCTTTACTGTTCCCAGACTCCAGGTAGGAATTGAGGCCCTTGGGGGGAAGTCCTAAGGAGGTAGAAGATGTTGGGAGGCTAGAGGATGACCCAGGGGAACCTCTTCAGCAGTGATATTCAGTGACTCTCCCGTATTAACAGTCACAGTATGGTATAATAAGGATCTGCTTTGTACTAGATGCTGTGTTAAGCTTTTTCCAAATACCATCTCATTGAAACTTCACCACAATCCTATGAGGTCCAACCTGTAGCGATAAGGCTACGTACTAGGAATGAGGTCTCCACACAGCCCGGAGCCGTCCTTATTTGTTGAGGAAAGGTACCTCGTCTGTTTCCTTCTAGTACGTGGACCAGCATTCACCAGCCTGAAGATTGGCGTGGGACACCGGCTGGATGCCCAGGCATCTGGGGTGCTTGGTAGGTGAGGGGATGCAGTGATATAGCCTTGGGGGAGGATTGGGAGATACCAGAAGCCCAGCCCACTTTTAACCTGACATCCGTTTCTCACCACTATTCTCCCCTGATTCTCGCCCCAAATCCGACCAGCTGGTGGAAGGGGGCGGGGGGAGTCACAATCGCTCACCTTTATCAAGTGATCTCTGCATGTGATGTGGTACAAAGCCATTCACCACAGCAGCCTTACTAGGTAGATGTTGTATGATTTTATGAATGAAGAAAGTAAGGTCCCACAGCTTAGGTGACTTGTCCTCGGTCACATGGCTAGTGAATGCCCTCGGTCCAGAGAGGGGAAACCATCATTGCTTTCGTGGGGTAGCCAAGCATGTGACTCTGGCCTCACCAGCGAGGGTCTGGACACACAAAGCCCTGAGTCATGAGCCATCTGTGTCCCCAGGGTCAGGCGGTGTCTGCATCCATACGCGACAGTCACAGTCCCCTTGTCTTGCTTCCCGGGGCACTGGCAGGCAGACATGATCTCATGCCCCCTCCCTGTCTAGGAGTGAATGGAGGACCATTCTCTCCTTCTGCCAGACGGAGAAACAGTGGGGAAAGGCAGGGAGTGGCCACAATGCCCTCATTTATGGGGCCTTCCTTTGTGCTGACTGCTTCCTGTGCGTGGCCTCAGTCTTCCTGACAGGGGCCGGGCAGTGTTTTTCTCCCCACTTTACTGATGAAGAGCCTGAAGACAAGGAGGTTAAGGACGTGCTTAGGGCCTCTCCTGACTTAAGTGCGGGTCTCTGTGACTGGGCCAGCGGTCTCGAACTTTTGAGCGCATCAGAAAGCCCTGGAAAGCCCTGGCCGGTGTGCTCGGTTGGTTGGTTGTCATCGGTACACCAAAAGGTTGCTCATTCAATTCCTGGTCAGGGCACGTGCCCAGGTTGCAGGCTTGATCCCAGGAGGGGGCATGCGGGAGGCAGCCTATCAATGTTTTCCTCTCATATCCATGTTTCTCTCTCTCTCTCTCTCTCTCCCTCTCTCTCTAAAGATCAATTAAAAACCCTTAAAAAAAAAGAAAAGAAACCCCTAGAGAGCTGGCTAAGCATCCTAGGCCCCTCCCCACCACAAGTCAGAGTCAGTGCACACGGTGGGACCCCGAAATCCACGTTGTCATTTATACCCAGAGGAGCTCACTTGCTTCCTGTAGAACAAGCTGTCCTTGCCCCCCGCTGGCTTCAGCAGCATTGGAGGCGGGAATATTCTGATGGCAGGTGTGGGGGATGGGGTCCCAGGGGAACGGGAACGGGGGCAGGGGGGGCAGGTGTGAGATCAGCCTGGGTTCCTTTCAGTGCTCGGCGTGGGACAGGGACGCAGTCTCCTCACCGACATGTACCACGCACACCTCACCAAGGTACGGGGGCTGGGACAGCCTGCGTATCCTCTGGCCCTTCCCTGGGGGCACTGGCAGGATCCTGAAGCTGAGAGGATTCCATTGGGGACATAGGCCATAAGTAAGCATGTTTTTATGGTCCCATGCTATGGAAGACTAACAGCAACGTAACAGTGACAGCTGGCACTATTGCCTGCTGGCTGCTCTGTGCTGAGCACTGTACGTGAGCGCCTCACTGCTTCCCTTCAGAGTGGGATCTGTGGTTAACCCATTTTACAGACGAGAGAACTCAGAGAGAGGATGTCACTTGCTCAGGGTCGTGTAGCCTGAAAGGGACAGAGCTGGAGTTTGGACCGGGATCTGTCCGACACCGGAGCCTGATCCGGACACCACTTCATTCTCTCCCCAAGACTGAGAAGTGGATGTCACTGTCTAGGCATCAGGGCGATCTGGCACCACGAGCGTGGGCAGTAGGTGTCATGTTAGAAGGTCCATGTTTTTAATGGTTAAGAGCACAAACTCTGGAGCCAAAACCAGCTTCTCCCTGTGCCAGCTATGGGTCCTTGGGTGGGTTACTTCCCATCTGTGCGCCTCCGCCCCTCATCTCTTAAATGGGAACGATAATAGTTCCTCTTCTGCATTAGGGTCACTTCGAAGCTAAGATTAGTGCCTACGTGCCACGTAGCCCATGGTAAATGTCCATCAGTGTCACTGTTGTCACCGTCTCTACCATCGTTGTCATCATTGCTCTGAGTTGTGGCAGAGGCATTCAGCTGCGTGGGTCATACTTCGAGGGGTGGAAGGAAGCCCACAGGGTGTGCTAGCAGGGGGCTGGCGTGACAGATTGTCAGGTTGCTGGAGTGGAGAGGCGTGGAGTGTCCTTCAGTGCCCTTTGTGGGCTGCCAGTCCTGACTGTCGTAGGAAAGTCCAGCATCCTTCCCCTGGGGGCAGTGGGCGGCCAGGCAGGGACTGAGCCTCTGAGCTCCCTGAGGACCTAATGGCCCCACCCCTGCTCTCAGCCCAGCACCTCCCTCAGTGCTGAGGCTCCGAGCAGGGACACACTGGGTCTTCCCCTCCCTGTCCTCGCAGGATTACACGGTTCGCGGCCTCCTGGGCAAAGCCACAGATGACTTCCGCGAGGACGGTCGGCTGGTGGAGAAGACAACATATGGTGAGAGCCCCTGGGAGCCCTGGGCATGTGGAGGAGCAGCTGAGGCTGCCTCCGCATTTGCTTTCCCTTGATTCCTCCCCCCGAGTCTCTTAGACACACCAAGCTCGGGCTGCCATTGGGGGGGCTTTGGACACATCGCTCTGTCAGGAGTGCCCTGTGCTCCCTTGTGCCTCTTCACCTGGTTTAAATGTCACTTCCCCCACCAGATCGATACCCATGAGAGTAGAAACTAATTTCACTCCTGTGGTCACACACAGCTCAGGGTCTGGGACGTGGGAGGTGCTTGTTGGATGGGGGATGGGGGATGGTGCATAGGTGGGGACAGATGGATGAATGAATGGTTGGGTGGGGGGTGGATGGTCCATTCTTCACTTACTCTCACCGTGTTCTAACACTCTATAATTTATCGTGTTTGTTCTGGCCAGATAGCTTAGCTGGTTAGAGTGTCGTCCTGATATGCTAAGGTTGTGGGTTTGATCCCTGGTCAGTGCACATTCAAAATCAACCAATGAATACATGTATAAGATGAACAACAAATCGGTGTTTCTCTCTCCCTCTCCTTTCCTCTCACAAAAAAATCAAAAAAAAAAATCATTGCATTTGTTTATTTGGCATATGTTTTTGAGCACCAGCCATGTTCTAGGCACTGGGAGGACATAGAGTAAATTAAATGGGTCTCCAGCTACAGTGAACTCAGTCTTAACAGGAGAGCAGACACACCTACACCTTCTAGGACAGATTAAAGCCTGGCAAGACAAAACTATGTATGTGTAGGTGTGTGTCAGCATCCAAAACGCATCTAAAGAGAATTACCAAGTTGACACTTCTGGGAAAAAGGAAGCCAGAATTTGGAGAATAGAGAGTGGACGATGGCAGAGATGATAACAGTGATAGAGATGTTTGTTGATGCGGATCTGAATTTCTTTTTCGTTTTTTAAAAAATATATATATTTCTTTATTGATTTCAGAGAGGAAGGGAGAAGGAAAGAGAGATAGGAACATCAATGATGAGAGAGAACCATTGATTGGCTGCCTCCTGCACACCCCCCACTGGGGATCGAGCCCACAACCCAGGCATGTGCCCTCGGCCGGAATCAGACCTGGGACCCTTCAGTCCACAGGCTGACACTCTATCCACTGAGCCAAGCCGGCCAGGGCTCTATTTTGTTGTTTTTAAGATTTTTTTTATTGTATTGATTTTTTTTTTTAGAAGGCGAGGAAGGGAGAGGGAGAGAGAAGCATCAGTGTGGGAGGGAATTGTCCATCAGCTGCCTCCTGCATACCTCCTACTGGGATTTGAGCCCACAACCCAGGCATGTGCCCTAACCAGAATCAAACTGGCAACCTTTCAGTGCACGGGATAATACCCAACTAACTGAGCCACATTGGTCAGGACGCAGATTTAAATTTCTTAAAGAAGATTCATATATCAATTGCATAATTAAAAAATAATGTAAAAACCAAAGAAAATTAAATGGTGGGAAAGAGACTCAGGTACAGATGGCAGAAGCCAGGAAGAAAAAGCCACATACTCCAGGAGGGCTTCCTGGAGGAGGCAGCATTTGAGTTGGCTGTAAATGAGAGGAGGAGGCAGGGGCATTCCAGGTAAGACAACAGCATGAAAGAAGCCAGGCAGAAGGGCTGAGAGGCCTAGGCCCTTCCAAGCTGGCAAGCCTTCGGCTACTACAACTGCTCCCTAACCTTTGGCACTTGCCCCAGCTGGGCCACAGGATCAGCCTGCCAGCAGAGTTTGTGAGTGTCCCCGGGCTCTGCTGCTGCCTGCCCCATAGTTACTCGGTGAGACCAGCAGGCAGAGCTACTCCCACTTTTGCCACTTGTTTCTGCGTTTGGACAGATGGCACCATCCCTGAATATTAGGCAAAAATCAGATTATATCTTTGAGCTTCATTTCCAGAAGAAAATGTTAGTAATCTAGAGTCTCACAGCCCCTTGAATGTGTCCTTAACATGCTGAGTTCTTGTGTATCTTTCTGAGAAGAGGGGCCCACACTTCCATAAGATTCTCAAAGGCCTCGCAACCCCCAAATGGACCAGAGGATGCTCTGGGATCCCCTTCAAATTCTGAGGCTGGTTTGGGGGAGTGAGTGGGTCAGGTTGCTGTTGCCCATCTGTGTGCTAACCATCCCTGTCTTTTTCAGACCACGTGACCAGAGAGAAACTGGATCGAATCCTGGCGGTGATCCAAGGCTCCCATCAGAAGGCCCTGGTGACGTAAGTGGGGCTCCACCCAAGCCTCCCTGAAACGGCCCTCTAGGAGGTGCCAGAAGAGCAAGAGTTGAATGCCCACAGGGCTCCCTTAGCCTCTGCCCAACCCAGGGGCAGATTCCACGGATCTTTTCAGAGCCTGAAACCAGACATGAACCATTCGCTCCTTCCACAGCATGCAGAAGTGCTTCTGTGCTGGGTCAGGCCAGGCCTTGGAGAAACCGAGGGGAATGAGACACCAGCTGCTCTCCTAGGGAGCGTGTGATCTAATGCAGAGGCAGCCAGGGGCCTGCATCATGGCACAGAGCCAGGGGGCGGGAGCAGGCAGCACTCGTGTGATGCTGAAGCCGGCAGAGTGTGCAGAGGAGGACAGGCTGCATTACAGATTGGAAGGGCTGACAGCTGCTGAAGGGGCCCTGGCGGGGAAGGGGAGGTGGAGAGGCATAAAGAGCTTCAGGAGTGGGCAGGGCCAGGGCTAAGCATCAGCCCAGTTCCCCAGCCCACACCAGCCACCCAAGTCTGTCCACCTCCTGATCCCAGGTACTCCAACCTCGATCTGCAGACCCAGGAGGCCTACGAGATGGCCGTGAAAGGCTTGATCCGGCCCATGAACAAGTCCCCGATGCTGATAACTGGTGTCCGATGCCTCCACTTTGCGCCTCCAGAATTCCTCTTAGGTAAGTTGCCCCAGGAAGTTGGAGCAGGGAGATGGGACTCCACGGAATGCCCTTGCAGAGGCCGGCACATGCCAGTCCCGAACTCTGCTGGCCAAGGCAGCAAGGACTGACGTCCTTGCCAGCCCTGGGCTGGACTTGGCCGATCACAGGCACACAGAACAAATACTGTCCTATCTTCTGCCAAGTCACCCTTCGAAGCCAGAACTTAGGGTCATAATAACGAGGGCTCCATTTCTTGGGCACTAACCAAGGCTCTCCCCATGCTAAGCACCTGATAGTATCAATTATCCCTTGGACTCCTCATAGCCACCCATTTTATAGATGAGCAAACCAAGTCTTAGAGCAGTGCTTCGACCTGCCCACATATCACCTGGGGGTCTTCTTACAAGGCACATTCTGACTCAGCATGTCTGGGTAGGACCTGAGATTTTGTCTGTCTTAACAATCTCACTTTGCGCCTCCAGAATTCCTCTTAGGTAAGTTGCCCCAGGAAGTTGGAGCAGGGAGATGGGACTCCACGGAATGCCCTTGCAGAGGCTGGCACATGCCAGTCCCGAACTCTGCTGGCCAAGGCAGCAAGGACTGACGTCCTTGCCAGCCCTGGGCTGGACTTGGCCGATCACAGGCACACAGAACAAATACTGTCCTATCTTCTGCCAAGTCACCCTTCGAAGCCAGAACTTAACAAGCAACTGTTACGTTTAGCGGCTCACTTCCAGAGCCACCCACTGCTTCAAGTAGATGTGGGCCATCAGACAGCATTCTCACTTCCCCTGTCCCCCCCAGCCTTCCC